CATCCGAAAATGAGCTCCATCGGCACCGGTGTACGCAATGGCCTGCCGCCCCCCCCTCCTCCCTGGCCCCCGCAGCCACAGGCACCGAGCCGCACATCCCGCACGGCGCCCACGGCCCCGCCCATCTGACACAATCCTCCCCCACTCCTCCGCTCACCCTTGTCGCGGCCGCAGTATGACCTGTCGTGCACGACCTACTCCCCCGACGGCCGCGTCTTCCAGGTCGAGTATGCCACCAAGGCCGTCGAGAATGCCAGGTGCGCCCGGTCTGCCCGCGCCCCGCTGTCATTTGGTTCCGCCCCGCTCACCTCTCTCCGCCCCCTCGGCCGCCCGTCACGCCTACCCTTCTCCTCTCCAGCACCGTGATCGGCCTGCGCTGCAAGGACGGCATCATCCTCGGTGTCGAGAAGCTCATTGTCAACAAGCTCGCCTATGCCCCGGCCAACAAGCGCATCTACCATGTTGGCGAGAACATCGGTGTCGTGCGTCCCATCGCCCCCAGCCTCCTTCCCCTCCCGCGCCCCCGCTGCTTGCCGCTCCTCCTGTCCGCGCGCGCGCCCGGGCCTCTGACATGTCCTTCTCGGGGGGGGGGTATGCGTGTGCGTGTGGTGAAAGGCCGCCGCCGGCTTGCTCGCCGACGCCCGCGCCCTGGTCTCTCGCTTCCGCGAGGAGTACGACCACTTCAAGGAGTTCAACTCGACCGTCATCACCGGGCGCGTCCTTTGCGGCCGCGTGGCTCGCTTTGCCCATGCCTACACCCTGCACTCGAGCGTCCGGCCCTTCGGCGTCACGGCCCTGCTGGCCTCGCACTCCAAGGAGAACGGCCCGGAGCTCTTCATGATCGAGCCCTCTGGCGTGGCCATGGTACGGCCCTCGGCCTGTTTTCACAGCCCGGCTCCTCCTCCTCGTCCGCGTCTCCCCTCCCCCGGGCCCCTGATTGCTGACCACCCCCCCATCGGCCTGCCCTCCCCGCTCTTCCTGGCACCGCGCACGCACCCGCTCCTGCGCTGCTGGCCCCAGCGTTACTTCGCTTGCGCCGCCGGCAAGGGCCGCCAGGCGGCTCGCACCGAGCTGGAGAAGCTCGACTGGATGCAGCTGACCGCCGTCGAGGCCGTCACCCACGTCATCCGCATGTGCGTCCCCTTTGCGTGGATGCCCCCCCCTCCCCCTGCCCCTTCGGTCTTTATTTTTCCCCTTTCCCCGCTCCAGCCCTCTGGCCGCGCGCCCACCCTGCCCGCTGACCGGCTTTCTGCGGGCACGCGCCCATCCATCCACACACACACACACACACACACACACACGCACGCACGCCACCCCTCCCGATGCCAGCCTGCACATTGCCCACGAGAGCAACAAGGAGAAGCCCTTCGACATCGATGTGTCTTGGATCTGCGAGCAGGTGCGCCCATCGATCGCCGGGCTGCCGCCTTCCCTTGCCTGCCTGCTCGGCAGCAGCGACACTCACCCCCTTTTGCCGCCCCCTTTTGCCGCCCCTGCCTGCTGCAGTCCGACTACAAGCATGAGTTTGTCCCGGACCACATCTTCCAGGAGGCTCAGCGCGCCGCCCTCGAGGCCCTGCAGCCGGAGGACGACTTCGACGACGAGATGGAGGACTAAGACATCGCGGCTGTGCACCTCGCCGGTCTTCCCTTCCCTCTTCTCTCTTTCTCTCTCTCTCTCTCTCTCTGCTATTGTGTGCGTGCCGCTCGCGCCAGCCGCGACCGGGTGATTGCCAAGCTCCAGACACAGGGGGCAGGGGGAGGCCGCTGCCACCATTGCCGTCGCCCCCGTCACTGCCTTCTCCTCTCCTTGCGCGCCTTCCATCATTTCAGATCCCACTCGCCGCGCTGGCCAACCCTGCCGGCTGGCGCTTTGCCCTCCTCCCTCCCCCTCCCTCCCCTCCCTCTCGACTGGCACCTGTATACTATTCTCCAGGCCGCCTGCGGCCCACCAGGGCGGGGGGACACATCCCGCTGGTCCCCCCCTCCCGTCAACTCCAATAAGAAAAACCTAACTCCATTTCTCGGTTGCTTTGTTTGTCGTATTGTCAGCGGCCAGGGGCGCGCAGGGTCTATGGTGGTGCACACACGCCGGAGGAAATGGGCGGCGCAGGAGGCTGGAAGACGCGATGGGCCAGCGTGGCAGGGATAGCAGCGGGAGGGGGCTAGAGGATCTTTCTCGAGGAGAGGAAGGCATTCCCGCGCTGGCCGGATCGGCCCCGGTGGAAGGGAGAGAGGGAGCGGGGGGGGGGGGGGGGGGGGGGGGGGGGGGGGGGGGGGGGGGGGGGGGGGGGGGGGGGGGGGGGACGAATCGGGAACATGCGTCAGGAGGGGATCGGATGGGGCCGGGATCGGACTGAGTCAGCCCAGAGCAGGGGAAGAGCGGCAACAGCCAAGCGCCAATGGGACATACCTGGATCAGGGCATCAATGATGCTGGGCTTGGTCTCGCCCTGGTACTTGCGCACTTCCTGCATCCAACAAACGCATGCAGATGTGAGTCCAAGCTGCGGTGGGGGGGGGGGGGAGCATGAAAGAGAGAGCGAGGGAGAGAGGGAGGGGGGGAGAGGAGGAACAGGGGATCCCCCGAAAGGGGCCGGCCCGAGCAGATGGATGGCCGGAGAGAGGCGCACCTTGCGGACACTGTTCAGATACCAGTTCTTGTCGCTGAGCTCGATGGTGCGCGCATAGCGAACCAGGCTCCGGTAGAGGGATCGAACCTCGGCCGAGCGCGGGTGGCTGGCCAGCTCAGGGCGTCGGACGACCGCATTGGCGCCGGCGGCCGGCTTCGGAGTCGCGGCCCTGCCCCCGGAGGCGGCGGCCTGCTGGCGGGCGAACTGCAACCGGGCCGCGGCCAGTGGCGACAGGGGCTTGGCCGACATCACTACTCGGCTCGGTAGCATGGCGATGTGAGGAGGCGCACCAAGGGGGGGGGGCGGGGTGACTCAGGGCGAATCCAGGAGGAGAGCGGGGTGTCGGGGGGAGGAGGCGTGTGGGCCGTGTCGCCGGCGGGGGATCGGCAGGGGCTAGGGGGGGGGGGAGAAGCAGCGAGCGAGAGGCGGACAGAGGGAGGGGATGGATGCGCCGCTCATCGAGCGGCCCCATGCCCGGGGCCCGTCCGGAAAAAGATCCCCCTGGAAGCGTGCCCCGGCGGGCCCGGGGGTGGAATCCCCTGCGAAGAGCGGCCGGACAAGGGGGGGGGGGCGTGGGGGCGACCCACGCTTCTCCGGTGGCCGCGGGAGATCGGAGCGCCCGGGCATGTGCCAACGAAAGGCCGTAGGCCTCTGTGCCGCCAGTTTCCCCCTCCTGGCGGCCAGCCCATCGGAGCGGGGGGGGGGCGGGGCGGCTGGAGCCTGATTGGCGGCCGATTCGGGGGCGCGGGCCGGCACGCACCAGCCGTCCACCAGCTCCACGACCGCGCTCTGTCCCCCCCCCCCCTTCCCCCCCTTTTCGCCCACTCTCCTCGCTCCTTCTACCGCCGGCCCCGCGGTCTGTTGTTCCGCCTGCTGTGCCCCGAGTGGCAGTCTCACCGGGCCCTCTCCCGTCCTCCCTCCCCGCGCCCCCTCCACCACCCACACACTCCCACACTCCCACACTCCCACACTCCCACACGCACATACTCCCACACGCACACACGCACACACGCACACACGCACGTCATGTCCTCCTCCTCCTCCTCCTCCTACCAGGTCAATACCCAGGCCAATGCCCAGTTGCAGCAGCTGATCACCCACTGTGATCGGCTACGACAGAACATCCGCCGGCTGGTGGAGGCCGCCGACCCGAAGACCCTTGGCATCGTGCCGGAGGACCTGAACAGGCATGGGAAGGCCGCCGCCGTGGCGGCCACCATCGCCTCCGGCGTGGACCATGTTGGCATCGAAAACGCCTGCTCCAAGGCCCACATCTCCGTCAGCAACATCGTGCGCTGCTGTCCCGGGCTGCCGCCCGGGTCTCCCCCGCTGCTGGCCGGCTGGAGGCCCCTCCCCACTGACCGCTGATCCTCACCTCCTGGTCCCCCCCCCCCCCCCCCCCCCCCTCTCCCGGGCGCCTCGCCGGGTTGCAGATTCTGTCCATCCAGGTTCTGCTGGACCTGGTGTACAAGCTGAAGCGCGCCACCCTGTCGCACAGTTTCAATGATGAGGGGGCCGTGGCGTCCCTCATCCACCGGCGTCGGGTGGCCTCGGACACGTCGGTCACCCTGCAGCGGCAGCTGTCCTCCATCAGCGACTCGGTGCGCTTCCTCAGCTCGCGCATGCATGAGCTCCACATGCTGGCGGCCGATGTCTGTGACCCGGGCCCGGCGGTGCCGGATGCCCGGCTGGAGGCCATCTCCCGGCTTCTGCACCTGCGGCCCGGGGAAGAGCGCCCCGGGCCGCACCCCTCCCCGGCGCCCCCCTCCACCTGCATAACCTCGACGGCGACGGCGACCGCCTCGCCGGAGGACGAGCCTGTGGACCTGACCGGCGATGGGTCGCCGGCCGGGCCGGCTTCCCTGGGCACCTTGGCCGGCGGCTCGCTGGCCACCACGCCACTGGCCATGTCGGAGGGGGAGCCCGAGGAGCCGGGCACCGGCCCCGAGCCGGCCGGCAGCCGCGACGCGCTGGCCCCGACTTCGGCCCCGGCGTCCGCCCCGGCATCGGGGCCTGTCTCGCCGTCGGGGGGGGCCTCACCGGTCCAGGGCAACCCCCCTCCGGTGGGTGGGGAAACCCCGACCCCCGGCGCCGGGGCCAGCTCCAGTCCTGCGGCACCCCCCTCGGGCCCGCCCGCGTCAGATGTCCCGATGGGCGTGGCGCCCGGCGATGGGGATGACTCGGAGTTCGAGGATGCCGGGCCCGGCGATGCCGCCCCGATGACCATCGAGTATGAATAGCCCCCTGCTGCTGGGGACCCGCTCGCCCGCCCGCCCGCCCGCGGCACTGGGAACAATACACGCCGACCCTCGAGGTAGAGCAGCGCCTCGGAAAGGGCACGACAAAGAAAGCGTCCATGCTCCCGTCCTCCCCGCTCCGCCCGCCCGCTTGAGCTCGGCCCTGTGAGGGGCAGCTCCCGTGCTCCCCCTTCCGCGGCTGCCCGGCCGCCTGCTGGCGGCCACAGCTGGGCGTGCCCTTCTTGCCGATCCCTCGCAAGAGTGAGCACAGAGGGAGGAGCACCTACGGGGAGCCGGGGGGGGGGGGCGCACACATGGGCATGCATGCGCATGCGCGTGCCTGCCTGCGTGGCGTGTGCGTGTGTGTGTGTGTGTGTATTATCTAAAACATGTCGCTGATGTCCGGGGCGAAGGGGGCATCGGGCGGGCGCTTGCCATCGATCTTGAGCGAGGCCTTGTCGGCGCCGACGGCCACATGGCCAAACGGGCAGTGGCGGCAGGCGCAGCCGCAGCAGAACCCGCGCTTCAGGTGGCCGACGCGCGTCTGCGAGAAGTACCCCGTGTCCGGGCACTCGTACCACGCCTCGCCCGCCCGGCAAGCGGCCGCGTGCGCCGCGCGCACACTCTCCGACAGGGGGGCCCGGGTGATGGGCTTTTTTTTTTTTTTTTTTGCCGACCGAGGGCAAGGGATGCGGGGGGGGGGGGGGGGTGCAACGCCCGGCGGGGGGGCCGGGCAAAGGGAGACATCGCGGCAATGTAAGCACCGGGCGAGAGGCAGGGCGGAAGATGGGCGTGGCAGGTGGCATGGGCGTGGCAGGGCGCACGGTCGGCGGCAGGTCGCCAGTGGACGGCCCGGCGACATCCGCCTCGACGCGAGAGTCCCCCTCGTCGGACAGGTCGAAATCACTGACAAGGTCCGAGTCCGAGTGGGGGATCGTGCTCAGGCCCGAGGCGTCGGGAGGGCTGCTACCGGGCTTGGTGGACATGGGAGCAATCGGCACCAGGGCAGCAGTTGATGGGCGAGCACCGGCCGGGAGCCGGGAAAGGCAACGGATCGGACCGAGGAAGGACAACACCCGAGCAGGTGTCACCATAACCAGCGCAGGGGGGCGGCCCTGAGACAAGGGGGAGGGGGGGGGGGGCAAGGCAGGCGGGGCGCGAGCGGGGGACCAGCGATGGGCAGGGGCGGGGGTGAATATGGCCGGCGACCAGGCGCACACGGCCGGCAGGCTGCCATCCTTTGCGCCTGGCCGGCGGATCCCGGCGCCCCCGCCCGGCCGGCGGCCCACCCTCTGGCGCCCGCCCGCCCGCCCGCCCGAGCGTGCGCGTATGCAGCCCTGGCGGGCGGCAAGCCACGGTCGCCGGCCGGCAGCTGTTGTGGGCTCGGCTGGACCGACTGCCAACGCACGGGCGAGACTCGATTGCCCGCGCCGTGCGGCGAGCAGGCGGCGCCGGCGGCCGGGCGAGGGCCCGGCGCCGGGTGGACCGCGGCACATGCCCAAAGGGTCGGACGCGGGCTGCGCCCTCCCCTCTCGATCGGGGGAGATCGCCTCGAGACGGGAAGCGGCTGAAGCGCCGGCGCGTTGCGGACGGCCATGCCGCCGGACAACTTGCAACCCCATCCCGGCCCCTCTCTCGCCCATCCGCTGTCTCCCTTCGCCCGGGCTTCCCCGTTTGTGCTTGCGTGTTTTTTTTTCCCCCCGCCCGCCCTGCCGCTCCTCGCTGCCTGGCCTGCCTCATCCCGGCCTCCCTCCGCCGGGCATCACCCCCATGGACCACCGGCGGCCGGGGCCCGCGGAAGATCCCCCCCAGATCCCGGACCCAGCGGCGGTGCCCCCGCCGGCCGCCGAGGATGATGGTCCCGCCTCGCCGCTGAGCGGCGATGACCCGAGCGCCCTGATGCTCGGGTCCTCCGATGACGACGCGGCCATCGCCGATCTGCTGCCCTCGTCGCAGCTGCTTGAGCGCCACATCGCCGAGGCCCTGGCCAAGCGCGGGCTCAACCACCAAACCGGCCG